GAAGGCATTTTGGAGTAAACTTAGAGACGAGATTGGGGTAATGAAGTTTGCAGATGTGCCATTTTAGGTCAAGAAAGTCTTGATTTTATATGGAGTCGCTTGAACAGTCGATCCTTGCTCCTTACGATTCACCTTCAATACGACGTCGTTGCGGTAGTTCGACGCCTTTAAATTCTTGCCATGTCATCGCTTACGTGTTAGGCTAGGTTTATGTGGCAACGTATACCGGCTACAATAGGTGAAAGGGATTATATTGATAGGTAACAGATACTTCGTTCCCTTATTAAACCACAAAATAAATTAAGTGGCTAAATGGATAAACCCTAAAAACATTATAGTACGTCATTTTCCCAAAATGTAACCATATATCTTTCCAAGTCCTTGTCCCACATTGACAAAGTTAAATCACAATTTTATTCGCCCAAAGTCAAATCTCTATAACCTTTAACATACACGTTTTTTAACAGTTTAAAAATGTCCGATCCACCCCTTTGTTTGTAGGTATGATATATTTTGTGTCTTATAAGTTACAAAAGATTTTTGTAACTTGTCCCTTATTTGATTCTAACCTTATAAGATTAACGCTTAAAAGTTAATTATAAATGTACATCTTCTAAAGTACATTCATTTTACATGTAATTTGCCTATATGGTATAAATTCATATTTGTTTATGCATGAGATCTAGACAACCATATTTATCAAACACATATTTATTTTTAGAAGACTATGAAGCATGTAAACACTTGCAAGTTAAGATATATCGTTGTTACACATCTAGAAACTCAAAATGAACAAATACACACATCCATACATTTGATTAATATCAGTTGACTTTTCAAATTTCAAAATTCTAACACTTAAAAAAAAGATTTCCACACAAACAAAAGGGAAAAAACAACAGAAAAAGATAGTAAAAATGAGATGTGAATATATCAATATGATAGAGATAAGGGCAAGTAGAAGCTTATTTGGTTGCCTGTGCAATTATATTGCTTATAGAATTTGCTTCTTCTTTAGCAGCCTCCACCAAAGAATCCTGCAAACACAAAAACCACCAAAACTTCAGCCACTCACAACCCGCCACATGGACATGTGCCACCGGGATTTTTAAATCTTACCTGTGCTGCCACTAGACGGGCCACCGTCTTCTTGCTCGATTCCTGAAGCTCTCCTGCTATTAGCACCTCATCCAGTATATAATAAGCCTGCAACAAAACATGACAGAACACAACAGAACAGGTTGTACTATCATACTGTGTTTGACTGTTTGACTTTGACTGAGACTGATGTGAATAGGACAAAAACTGAAAGCGAAAACATACCTTGTGAAAATTAAAGATCAGGTCCAGCTCACAAACCTATCATACACAAATTCAAAATTTTATAAAATACTAAACAACACATTTCCAATATTTCTTATAGATTAGATGGCTTACACTTCCGAAATAGCGATCTAGAATCTCAACATAATGATGAATAATTTCAAGGACTTCCAATTCATTGTCTTCCTGGTTGATGCACATACAGAAGTAGAGACTGGCATATCTGATAAGTTTTTTTATTTTTTTTAAAAAAAAAGTTACAAAAAAATGAGCAATAAAGCTTCTTTAAAAATGGAAACGTTGTATTAATTTTAAGGGATACCGTTTATAAACGACTTTAAATCCTCTCCACTCAACAAAGTTGCAAAGCTTGGGACCACGTGTGAGAATCATCCCACTCAGCTCTCGTATTACCTACATAAAGTCCATGAATGTCAGTAATATTATGAAACATAAGAAAAAGTGAAATACATAAATCAAAAAGATGACAACTTGTTAATTCTTGCAATTACATACCTTACTTCTTTCTTTCTGGGTATAAGGTGAATACCATTTTGTCAACCTGACTTTTCCTTGTCGACTTATTAACAGAACAAAATGAATCTGCAACAAAAAATTAGTTATAACATATCATTTCCAAGTTTCAATGCCACAAATGCTCATATCTATACATTTACACCAATTGCATAAATGATAAATCTAAATTCCTGATTTTATAAACTTCTGATCCTTACTACTCTTGTTACATTTGACCTGCACTTGCAGAAAACCTAGTTCACAACATGATAGATTTAGATGTCACTCAATTAAGTTCATGGGATGCATCACCCCACCACAAGAACCCTAAAAGAGAAATAACACAGTTCTAGTCGTTGTATAGTCCCTTTTGTTCCACAATTAATGCTCATTCTAGAAAGAAGCATTGTTTCAAAATAATTAGCGTGAAAAAAGGCACTATCCTAGTTCCTGAGCACAATCAAATGCATCCTTGGTCTATGCGAACATTGAGAATTAATGATGATTGTTAGATGGTTTTTTCTAGATATGTAAGCAACTGATGATAGAAACCCTAATTCAATAAAATGGTTATGAAAACGCAACTAGTTAAAAAGGATTTACAAGCTCTCACCATGGCTCAAACTTCTGCGAGAAAAACCTCGTTTGCCGTCAGATCCGATCGAAAACTCTACTGAAGAAGATGAAATAACCTCGCATTTATTACAAAACTTGCCCAAACTAAAAGAGAAAAAAATCTACGTGTATATGAAAATTCAATCAGAATTTAACAATTATTTTGAATGATTAAAACATAAAGTGGTCGGGATCAAGAGATAGAGAGGAGATGGAAAGTAAACCTCGAAGAGAGAAAATTGAAGGGTTGGATTTGCCTTGATCGTCGCCGGTGGAACAGAGCACTTCTATACAAAGGGACTTCTATTTTGTTGAACAAAGTGTGAATCTATTTCTTATCAGCTTATTATTACATGTATTATATTACACGAAAAATAATTTATTTTTTAGAAATTTTTATAAGAAAAATAAAAAATAGTTTAGGCATGTTGTTCGGATATACCTGGCGGGTTTCGGGTTTTGGGTAAATATCAAGTAAAACTATAACCGAAACCCGAACCAAATTGAATTTTGGGTATTTGGGTTTCGGGTTGGGTCGCGTGAATTTTAAGATACATGCCTATCGTTCGGATATATCCGTCGGGTTTCAGGTTTTCGGGTAAATATCAAGTAAAATTATAACTGAAACCCGAACCAAATTGAATTTCGGGTTGGATCGGATGAATTTTAAGATACTTGGTTTTTTAAACAATAAATCAAAATTTCATTACAAAAAATATACATACATACTAGGCCTATTTTTTAATTAAAACAAGTGACATGTATATATTTTATTATAAAAATTAAAAATCATAAGATAAAATTGCAAAAATGTCCTTAGGTATGCATTTTTTTGGGGTTTCAGTCTAAACCTTGATTTTTTTTGGATTCATGGTCCTTTTGGCCTAGTTTGTACGTAGAATTTGTCCCCAGACTTAACTTCCGTTAAATTGTTGTTGTTAACCCCCTCATGTGCCTCCCACATGAGGGTATATTTGTCTTTTCATTTCTAAAGGACCATTTTTGCACCTGAAAAAAATATATCCCCATTTAAAAAAAAAAAATTAATACCTATTTATTTATTTTAATAATTAAAAAATAAAAGAGGTCTCTCTCTCTCTCTCTCTCTCTCTCTCTCTCTCTCTCTCTCTCTCTCCATCTTCCCTTTTCTTCTTCCCAAAAAACATTGTTGAAGAAGCATCACCCAAAATCCCATGTCGAGCATCAAACAAACAAACACGCCCTTGGATGGCTATTTCAGGCGAGATCACGAGGAGCTACAACCCCAAACACCCCACCTCAACCGTTGTTGTTGTAGCTGTTCTGATTCCCTTCCGAATCGTTGTTATCGATGACGAGAAAGAAACCACGATGAGGCTCGCCGGGGAGCAGCCTCGCCACCTCCTTCGGTTGTTCATCGCATCTTCCCCCCTTCGCACATTTCCTCACCAAAGTTGCTATCGCAGCTTACCTGTTTCCCTCGGATCTTCCTTCCTTCCTTCTCCTTCGCAGATCAATGCTTAAGCAGCCCTTGCTGTTTCCGATCTTATTCTTCCTTCATCGGTCCCGATTGAGCACCTGTGACACTCCCTTTGATCGGCGACTGCATATGCCTCCCTCCCATGTGTGTTTTGATGCCGGATCGGGAAAAGGAACAGTGAAGGAGGGCTCGTCGGAGATCGACGCCACCCCTCCCCACAATCGCCAGCCACTGCCGGAGACTCCAATCTTCAGTCTCGTTCGTTTCTTTCCTTACTCGATCTGAAAACCACATTTATTACAAATCTGAAAACCAGGGTTGGAGATGGTGGTTGAAAGGTGGTGTATGGCGGTGGTTTGTGTGATATGCTTGAAAGATGAAGACGTTGAAGATGATGAAAATTGACTTGAAGGTTTGTGGCAGGGAAATGGTGTGTAATGTGTGTGTTTCTTCAGGTTTACCACACAACGAGAGAGAGAGAGAGAGAGAGAGAGAGAGAGAGAGAGAGAGAGA